TACTTGTGCTAGTTTGTTGAACTGTGTCGTCTGTAGAAATGAAAAAAAAAAAAAATCGATGATTTACTAAGAGATGGAATTAGAATGAACGGGTATTAAATGCTAAAAGCAATCGCCATCGCAGAGTATTTTCACAATGGTACTTTCACAATCGACGATAATGCACATTAACATTCTTTTCGTAGTTTTTTACCGTTTCAATTTTCAGCGTTCGCAATGACTGATAATATATAAGACACAATGCGCATAATTAATAAGCGCATTCTGTTTTCAGCTTTTTAATTTTCATCATCATCATCATCATCATCATCATCATCATCATCATAAATTATCAATCACCATCACCATCATCATCCTCATCCTCGTCATCAATTATCGTTATTATCATTACTTTGTGTTGCTTTAACGAGCAAAGAGTAAAGGGCGCACGCGTTGAACATACCTTCTGTTTAAATTTAAAGCACCGCCAGCTTTGAGCGCAAACGCAATTTGTAGCACGTTATCCGCAAATCGAAGGTTGCATTATTCACCAGAGTCGCATCTACAGGCCACACGCATAGGTAAGCGACTTGATATCGCCTCTTCAATAATCTGACGTTGACATGCCACCAGGACTAGAGAGTGTGTTGCTGCGTTTACGCGCGGATTCGTCGCAAAATTCAAGATTACGCTGTCTAAGTACAAGTCATGTAGATTCCATCTGATTTCCAAATGACGTTCTGCATTTTTGTTTCTATCTCCTCGAAAGTTTTACAAGTACTTAACGTATGTTACTCTTATTGCACTTTGAACACTTCCTAAAGGCACTGTATTAATTGTTAATGATCGAAATTATATGTTCTTAATAGTATCCTTATGGACACACAAATGCATATATACACATATAGTATATGATAAGATTTCATGAATTTTAATAAAAAGTTGTGCGATGGCAAAAATAGTAATTTTACGCATGTATAGAGTTCTTCACGAGCCTTTTTAAACTACGTTTTTACATTTCGTATGAAAGTTTTTCCACATGTGAAATTAAATTTGTCTACCCTGAGAAGTACGTAATCACGTTATTCAAAATATGGTACGTGTATAATAAATTGTACATGTAGCAATGTAAGAATACTATAAGCACTTGGTCTCGATTTGAAATGTTTTAAAGGTAGTCTTCAAGTATTTATATCCATATGATGGTTGAGAAGTTATAAATGAAAAAAAGAATGAAGGAAGAACGATCATGTAATGCAAAACGTCATTCAAATAATGACTATGTGTAGTAGGACACGTTTAGATGCGCGCCGAGATACCTAGGTTGATTTTCGCCATTGAACGAGAAATGAGATCTCGCGATCGTAAGTAAATCAGGTTTCAGAGCTCATGGATGTTGGGTATAAATTTTCTCGACGATCTCCCCTCTTTTATACATATAACACGACTGGTTGGAGCGTTGTATATTTTGAGCGAAGAACAAAGAAAGCTTCAGAGTAAAAAAGTTCACATGAAAATCATAAATAATAGAAGTTTTAAACAGTAGTACTACTAGAAAGGCACGAGTAAAAAGAATTTTTTTGGTTTTTGTTTTAATAAAAAATATATACATATACGATGTGCAAATTTCAGACTGAGGTTTTGCGAATTGTATGAAGAAATTGAGGTGAATGTATTTGAAAATATTCATCTAAGAGACGTAGAGACATACGTTTGAATTTTATTTTTCATTCCGTCAAGGTACATTGATAACTTCTGCAAACACGTTTCTTTGCTTTATTAATGAACATTTAAAACATTATCCAAGTTCTTACGTGTAAAAAAAGATTATACAGCATTGTTTTTTTATTTATTTTTTTGTTTAATAGCCTAAGTCACCATCTTGTTGATGCTAAATATTATAAACTTATAACGAAATAATCTATCTTAGTAATGTGTAATTATTATGTGACTTAAGATAGATAAAAAGGTAATTCAACCCACACTGTTTAAAGCTGGGCTGTATTACTACGTGAGAGAG